ATTGGTATAACATTTGGATGCCCTGAAGAAAAAGAGACTGATTACAACAGAAGACATTAAAAACTTGCCATGGTACCAACGAAGAAGTATTATTACCTGGCAGGGAGGAACATGTGATATGATTTCTTGGAAATGTGGGACTCGCTATTACCTAGGATTTCTCCCAGGGGAAGCCCCTTGCCACTACCCCCAGGTTCCTTCCTGGTGCACTGCACTCCCCAACTGGGTAAACGAGTCAGTTACCAGTCAGACTGTCACCCCTTCCCCTCTAAGCGCCGTGGGCACTCCCCAAGCTAGATCCCAAGATACTTTTGTAAATGCTTCCGACTGGCCTAGGCCAGAAGGTCCCTTTTTACTTGGGAAATTTTGTTCCAGCCTGTTCTCAACAGGACCCGACGGCCATCTGTATGGCCACACTATCAAATGGCGTAAAAACGAAACCGTCACCAAGGCATCCTTCCCTTTTTCCCTTACCGACACCAACTTTGAGGCCCTGGAGGAAAACTCCCGTGCAGGAATTGACATATTAGCAACAGCTGGCACCTGTGAACTGTCTTTTAAAGAAAAAAAACTTCCATGCAATGCTTTGTAATCAGTTACCTACTTTTTGGTATTCCTACCACTTACTCCGGTTGTCACCCTAAGTTTACCTTCACCCGCAGGAGAGGGACCCCTACTCTACATGACTGCCTCATAGCCCATCATTACAATCCCCACTCCCCAGTTGCTCCCCCTCATATCTTCTCCAATTCCCATATAAATCTGTCTGGTCGTGGCCTCAGAGAAATTCAAGTCTCAAATCAACAAATGTGGTACAGCCCACCCCACCAACAAAATTCCCGTTACCAACGGTGGATGGTGCTAAATGCAACTATGAGAACCATCACCTTCTCATTTCCCATTTCCGCCTTCCAAATAACTACCCTATACCCCAATTGCACCCAAGGAGCGGCCATTCGATTAGCCCAGCTTCTGCAGTGGGAAAATTTTCGGAGAAAAAGAGGCTTGCTGGAAGGGGCCTTGCATGGTCTAACTGGAGCAGCCGCTATCTGGACTATAGACAAGGCCCAGGACCATGAACAACGCCTGGGAAATTTGGAAAGGGCATCAGGCCTCCTTACTGAGGCAGGGTTAACCAGCACCCACTCAAATATAAAAACCCTCCATGCCCTGTCAGGACTGGGAACCACAACCCAAACCCTCTTAACAAAATTAATAAACACCCTCGTTTTAATAGGAAAAAACACCGGATGGGATTCAGCTTGCAGCCAAATGCAGGATTTCTTTAATGGTCTCTTAGCAGAAATGCGGAGCGATGTCCTCAGTCAGTGATGGCCCAAAGCCCTTAACACTACTGCAAGAGTGCCACCCGAGCTGTGAAAATGGAGGCATACGTGGACGTTGTCAGGATGGGACCTGCGACTCCTCAAAATGCTCTTTCCAGGCTTCGGGGCCTGTTAATGGCACATGGGCCCCAGTGCACTTACTCTTGCCGGGACCCTGGGCGGGCTGTCTATGGGACTTGGGTCATCAGCCGGCAGGTATGGGAAGTCAAGCCACCCCACGGACCTAGCCGTTTTATCACCACTCCCCATGGTTTCGCTGCTCAACACGTCTGGGTGGGAATTGGAACCTTGTGGTCCTTATGGCCCTTGGAACCCCCACAGTTGTATTGTCTCCGTAAACTGCACCCTGGGAATTACTAAACATCTTTGACACAGTTTGCTGGGAAGGAAAAGCAGTAGGTAAGGCCCCAGGAGAGAACCCCTATTTGGAAAAGAGGATGGTTGTGTCCTGCCATCAAATCCCCACACCCCTCTTCCCTTTCACCTTAATTTGACCACTGCTCAGGGTAGCTGTTTTATCACCTGGCCTGCTAATCCCCAAATCTCTGTATCCCTCCACCCAGCTGTCCCTCTTGCCTTCGATTGGACTTCCCTCATCCCATCTGCTTCTTAAATTTAACTTTTCTATTTTCCCTCCTCTCCAACCTATCTCATCTCCAAGACCAAGTACATGTAATTGAGGTTGAATATAACAAAGAGGCAAAGGCATTTCAGGCCGCTTATCGAGTAGGGACTCTATGTTCTTCCCACAACGTTTTGTGTTTTGCCTCTAAGGAAATCACCCAAGCCACGCCCAGTCTCTTCACTTCCTCAGTCTTAAAAATACTAATTGGTATAATACTTGCAATTTGTTGTTGTTTATTACTTGCCTCCCTCTGCTGTCTTTGCAAGGTATGTCGTTTACCCCCTCTACAGGTTCAGCCACCGCCCCAAGTCCTTCTTTTTCCCATAGATATCCCCGAAACCACACTGTATTTCCCCTCAGACCCAGAAATAAGTCACCTTAGTGTCAAGTCCATCAGTGCTCCCAGGCTCGTGTCCGCTAATCCCCCCTTATCACCAACTAAGTCTGGGTACTGCACTATGGCCCTTTTAGCAAATTATAATAATGATGCCTACATGGCATCAGAGGAGGGAAATTGTGGGGAAAAAGAACTAGGTAGCCTTCTTAATGACAACCAAAGTAACACCGAAGGCCCAAATTCAGGCCCTCTGACAGAAGCTGACTACACAGATGGTCTTTACGTAAGGCAGTACAGGCCAGAACCTGAACTAAACTAGGCTGTGCAATCCCCTGCCAAATACGATCATGGGCCATGACCAGAGGAGGGAGGGGAAGGAAGCCATGCGAAAGGCCTTAGCAACATGATAACTACTGGGTGATGGAAAAACATGATTACTGCTCATTGATGAAACATAGTAACGGCTTATATGAAGAAATTGCTTCTAGTAAAGGCCAACTCCTCCTATTGTTCCAGCTACCTGCCACCAGTCAATCATATATCATCTTTGGGCGTCCTGTAATAAACTCCTATGCCCCCGCCCCCCCGGAAAACAATATGTACCCTGACGAAAAACAGCACCCCAACTGGTGCCAAGTACCACCCATGTCAAAACCACCAAGAAACCCCCACCCAATAGGCACCCAAATTCTCGTAAATAATGAGGAAGCTACCCGGAAAAAGGAACAGACCCCTACTCTTATTTTCGCATAAATGACGTATTATTTGTAATATGCTTGCGGTTTGACGGAATAAAGCAGCCTGCAAGCTGCTGCTGGGTATGACAGTTTTCGGACTGTCATCCCAACGCGTTGGTATGTATTGCAATAAACTAACCTCAGGCTTGAGTCTGTGAGCTAAAATCAATGCGTGGGTGACTTTTTCCACGACAAAGGTCAATTTTGCAGGGCTAGCAGTCAGAAAATACATCTTTTCAGTTGTAAACTGAACACATTTATTCTTGAAGTCACCTGAAAGACAAATATGGAACCAGATAGTGTGGTTCTAATCTGAAAAGGGACTCTGTAAGAGTTACTAAATCACCAATTATCCAAAAGAGAGTGTGTGTGTGTGTGGGGGGGGCAAGTTCTGTCCTCATTTACACCAGTGCAACCTCCATTGATTTCAGCAGCGCTTGATGTACAGCAGAGAGTATCACAAGTTGAACCATTGGAGCACTGATAATCTGCATAATTAGTCAAGGCCTCAGGTCCTTATTTATCTGAGTCAATGAGAGTTCTGTTACTCAGTCCCTCAAGCAATCGAGTAAGGAGCTCAAGGTTTGACCCACACTGATTGACTGCAATGCATTTGGAAATGAAGGGCCTGTTCTTGCAAACCTTATTCACACAAGTAATCTTACTGAAGTCCATGCGGCTAGTTGAGCGAGTAAGGACATGAGTGAGTGTGACATCAAAGGGATTCTGCATGGGCTCAAGAGCCTGCCTGTGCTGATCTGATTTCAAGATTTGGGTCTTGATGGGTGACCCTGGGCAAGTTCTTTACTGCAGTTCCCCATGTATAACATTAGGATAGTGATACTGACCTTCCATTGCAAAATGCTTGGGATCTGTGGGTGAGAGAGCCATAAGTACAACATAGTGATTTTTAGTCACTACTAACTTGGGTGGACTCTGAACCAGTGAGTGACAAAGAGATAAAAGGCTTTGTATCCCATTACCTAAGTCCCCTATTCCTTTCAAGGTCAGTCTTTGTTTGCTCATCCCAGGAAGCAAATACAGTTTTGAATGGTGTCAGCACATTTATTGTTTATCTGGCACAGAACATGTACTACACAATAAGCGAGTGAGTGAGCTAGCGAAAAAAGGGTGCTGCTGTTAGACTAAGTAGGTAAGTTACAAATAAGATCACCTAGTTCTTCTGCCTGTTTACAAAAAGTGTCATCAGCTTAGTATTATCGTTGGAGGGTTCTGCCAGAAATACAGGGTAATGCTGAGGGCACACCTCCTGATTGAGGGTTATAACATTTTGAATGGCCCAGAGAAAGCAGATGCAACAAAAGGTAAATAGGGTGAAAAACAATGGGCCATGAACTAAAGCTCCAAAAGGATCTGAAAGACATGGAGACATGCCTTTAAGCACAGCATGTGAATTCAGGTGTGGAATGGACTCCCAAAAACAGCAGTAGGAGCTGCAGTTGTGAATACATTTTTATAGTCAGACAGGCACTTAGAAGATATAACTCAATAGAGAACAAGCTGTGAACAAATAGCTGGATGAACAAAGATAAGCTGCGTTGCCTCCTTTTCTTTCCAAATATTGCAGTATAGAAATCCTTCACAAGTGTATAAAAACTACCTGGTATAGAACAAATTGGCAGTTAAATGAGGAAAGAACTGGACTACAAAGAGAGCAGCAGGTCAGGACTGAGGTGTATTGCAGAGAGGCATGTGGGCCCATGAATGGAACTGCTAACCAGACTGCAAGTCAGAGCTGAAGTTCATTGCAGACCTGCATGGGGCCCATTGTTGGAACTGCAGAAAGTGCTGCATGCCGGGATGGAGAGATCTGTGGAGGAAACTGTACAGTGCCTACCCTCACTATCTAGATCTTAGTGCTGTCAGTCACTCATTTTCATGTGCAGCACCAAATTTCATACAACAAACACAAACTTCCTATTGTGTAATAATCTGTAAAAGGTGCATAGATACTGAATCTGACCACAGGAATTCTGTGCCCATCATTCATCCCCATGGATGTTTCTTTGCAGAGCTCCATTGTCTTTCTTGAAGCTTGTAACATCGCTTCGCTCCTGCTTGAGCCAGTGAGCAAATACAGACCCTGAGTATTACTTTTATTTACTGAGGCATGGTGACTGAGGGAGTAGTCAAGCTGCTGCAAGGTGCTGAGTGACATCAATGCCCACCAAAGTGGACAGACCCTATCATTTTTCAAGCTAGCTCAGCCAACCACACTTTGGGGACCTACAGCACCTCACACAGAGCACTTCTAAGGGGCCTGGATCTGCTGGCTCTGAGAATGAAGAAAAGAAACAATTATTAAAGAATAGAGACTAGACTCAATAAATGCATTACACAGACACCTTTATTTTTCCCCATTAGCAATCCAGAACCATTCCATTCAGAGACTGAGTTGTTTTGAATTTCTGTTTAAATGTACAGTGTAGATTTCTTGATATCACCAGCACTAGCTGGACTTCCAGAACAGGGCACTTCTCTAGGACTAATCACTGGAATGGAGCAAGGAGATGAAATGTGTGTCTGATTCCTCACATGCGAAATAAAACCAGGAACACTGAAAGCATCCTTTCCATTATTCATCTTTAAATGGAAACTGAGGGTGGTCCACAAGTCTAAAAAGAAAACATTTATTAAATATCCACATGTGATTGCATTCCTAGGACATCTGAGTGCAAACCACAGGAATCTCGAAGAGCAGACATGCAATGCTATCTATCTGTTTTAGGGTTTTCTTTAGGCCCATCACTGTACTATCTCAGCACATGAGTGCTCTAATGTATAATCTCTACTGAGAGGACATTACATTACAGCAGAGTTTATTATAACTAATACCTGTGTTCACCTGGAATTTAATAAAGCTTGGAGAAAACATGACAGAATGGTCTCATAACTGTCTGTGACTGGCTATGGCAGAAGGCTGTTACAAGAGAGGATTATTCTCAGTAAACAGTGAGGCTAGAACAAATAATAGTGGGCTTTTATGAAGCAGAAAAATTGTCTTTAAAATACAGACAGGCCCATACTGTAAAGTTAAGATCCCGATCTGGATCCAAAATGTGGGTGTATTTTGGTTTAGTCCATGCAGATGTAAAGGCCATCCAGATCAAAGAATGTTTAATCTAGACCCAAACTTCTGCAAAGATCAGGGTTGTTTGGGTGCAGCTGAGAACTGAACTCCTTGCACCCTGTGGCACTGTGCAGAGCTGGGGGTGGGGTGGGGGTGGTGCTGGTGGGGGTAGGGGAGAAGGGGGTGTATCCACAAAAGGAGAAGTTTGCAACTCTCTGATCCTTGGGCTAATTCCTAAGATGCTCTCTGCTAGCTGGGGATTGCTGGAGCACAGCAGGACTCTGGCCACACTCTCTCCCCAGAAGTGCCTTCAGCGAATCCCCTATGCCAACATCTTGGAGGTTATGGCACAGGACCTTGCTCTATGGGTTCTTCACCACCAGGGAGATCCCCTGATGCCACTAGAACACAACAAATGTCCTAGAGGGGCCTTGGACTGATCCCAGAGTTTCCAGAACATTGGAAACATTTATAACCATTAGGATGATGACACAATGACATTGGCATTCAAGGGAAATTGTTATTTTGCCTTGAAACTGGAGCAAGGCTAAACGAGATAAACGACTACTAGGAATGTGTTGGGATAATGGGCCAAATCCTGTCATTGTGGGAGCCTCGGGCACTGGTGCACCTCGGTCTCTCTTATTCACTGCCTGTGGCACATAATTTTCTAGTCTCCTGTGTGCAATGTTGTTGTAGTCTTGTCGGTCACAGGATATTAGAGAGACAAGGTGGGTGAGGTAATATTTTCTATTGAACCAACTTCTGTGGGTCAGAGGGACAGGCTTTGGTCTGTAGGGAGCTTGCTTCTGATGAGCTGAACCCCTCTCTTCTGGCCTCCAAACAACCCCCCCAATCTCATCACCAGAAGCAAGCTCCCCACAGACCAGGATACACAAACTCAAAGTTGCACCAGACCTTGCTGGATTAACATGCAATCCTGCCACTGGTACAGGGATCCACCCTCTCCCACCCCCAATATATCTTTCAAGATCCATGGATCCTACACATGCCTTTCACAACATGTGGTAAACCTCATCCAGTGCACTAAATGCCCTAATAAGAACTATATGGGTGAAACCAGACAATCACTAAATTCCCAAATGAACTCCCCCAGGAAAGTGATAATACAAAAACACCCTATCACCTGTGGGTGAACACTTAACAAACCTATCAGTCCTCATCCTCAAAGGAAAAATATGAACCTGGGAGCTTAACTTCATAACTTTGCTAGTCACTTAAAATTATGGACTGAAAAAGAGACTCTGGATTTATGGATTATTACAACAATCTATTTACACACAACCCCCCCGCCCCTCCCCACACCCACACACCCACACACCCCCAGCTGCCTTCCCCTCCTTTCTTTTCCCCCTATCAATGGAGGGGTGTTAAAGGGGTGTAACCTTGAATGGCCCCTTGAAATGTGTGTTAACTACTTATGCCAAACAATCTGTTCCACCTTGTATTTAGTTGTGACAAGTTTCCCAGACATGAAGAAGAGCTCTCTGTGTAAGCTTGTTTCTCTATCAACAGAAGTTGGTCCAATAAAAGATATTACCTCACCGACCTTGTGTCCTGGTCTCCTGTGGGCTATAATGCTTCAGTCTGGTTTTGGTTGTTGGGTTCAGCAAGCGGGTGGTGTTGATAGCCTGTGAAATACAGGAGGCAGACTAAATGATCTGGTAGTCCCTTCTGGCCTTAAACTGCATGATCCACTCCAGTCCTAATAGCTATGATCCTAAGTACATCCTTTGTGATCACGAGGGTCAGTATAACACAAAACCTTAATTCTTTGTGGGGTGACCACTGCTGCCTTTCTCCTGCCTCTCCACAGAGTACTAAAATACAAAGTATTGTGACTCACTGTATTAAGTTCAGGTAGCGAAGGTTTTTATTCAGTCCATCAATGGTTTTCATGTCCTCCTCAGAGAGCTGGAAGTCAAAAATCTGACACAGAAGACAGGATCAAACATTGGTTATTCCTGCCGGGCATAGCCCTTCTAATAGTGGGATGTATGTGCATTTACAGAAGTACAAGGCCCATGTTAGGTGAAAAGAAATGAAATAGGTATATTAATCTGGGCCTGCTATTTCCACTGTATTTTATATATTTCAGAGGTGAAGGTTATCTAGCTATGTAACTTTTGTGATTTTATTTTCTGGGTATTTCACCTTTGTACTTTTAGCAATCTGCTGTCTGTAGAGGCAGCTGCCATTTTGAGATATAAATGGCTGCTTACAGAGGAGATACACACTGTGCTCTCTTACACAGATGTTCTTTCTTGGTTTGTTTTTCCCTTAATCTAGAATAAATCTGTCAGACTGATATTGTAAGGTTTGTTCCTTGGGTATGGAAAATAGACCTAGGGATGCTATACCCTGATTTACCTGGGATGTTTAAGATTCTGAACTAAAATGGGCAGGGGAGGACAGATCAGAGTTTGGAGAGGACCCATGGTCTAGGCAAGAGACTGAGGGCAGGAAAGGGGCACACTCCTACTGGAAGATCATTTGTCTTTCCAATGCTCAGAGGGGCCTATATTCCCATCTGATATCAAGAGTAGCATTAGTCATTTTGGGAAAGGGCTCCATAAATCAATTGCTCCCTCAAAATTGTTTCCTTTGGGAGAGACAAGGAGGACTCCAGGGTTTTTTCTCCCCATATTATTATTTGTTCTCTAGTGGGTGCCAAGTTATACAGTTCAAATATTAAAGTGGCAAAAGCCTTCTCTAAGAATAGAGAACCTGCCTGAGAACTGCGCTACACAATGTCTGATAGTTCTCAGGCAGGATCCTGCAGTGCTATATTGTACAAGGGCACAAAAGTTCTCAACCCTCCATGGTGTCCCATCTAAATCTGTACATAGGGAGGTGTCTCCCTCACCATCTTCTCTCTGCACTCCTGTTTTACCTGGAAGTTTTCTTCAATACGCTTTCTGGTGAAGCTCTTAAAGAGGACCACGATACCACGCTGCAGCTGGTAGCGCAGGGCTACTAGAGCGGGGCTTCGGTTGTATTTTTTGGCAATTGCACCCAATACTGGGTCCTCCAGCAGAACTGGGGTGCTTTGGTCTATCCTACAAAGGAAACAGAGAAACAGGGAGCATTTCTGGGATCAGGAATGCAGTCATCGCAGCCTAGTGAGGACAATGCCTGTGAAATCTGAAAATAAACTACTAGGTCTTTTCCAGCTCTCATTTGTATTGTATAACTTTATATCAGATACTTTGAAGATGGAAGGAGGGGAAAGTACCCTTTAACCCATTATTGAGGTTCTAAACCTGGGAGCACAGTCCAGTTTCTTTCCTTACCACATCTTGTCTCTCTGTGAGCCCAGAGCACAATAGGCTTCAAGGAGGATATCCTTGGATTTGCAGAAGGCCAGCAGTTTGCTTTGGTTGAGGTAAGGGTGACATTCAACCTGCAGAATCAACCCGCAACCCAAAATTGAGATTTCAGATCATATGAACAGCAGCAGTCAGACAAAAGAAACATCAGACATTATGTCAACGGGACACAGTATACTAAAATATCAAATATCCTTCAATTAAAATACAGCCTGGAAGTGCAAGTGACCCTGGGGTGCAGTTTAGCTGATAAATCCCAAGCAACAGTTTATCTAGTAAAGGACAGAAGCCAAGACATGTTGTGGGAGGATAGGCTTAATAAGGATTTATAGTCAGAACCAAGTCCTGCTTCCCTTACTCATGTGTCTAGTCCCACTGAAACCTCAGTTTTGATACTAATTTTGGCCCATCGTGTATTGTTACATAGCTAGGATATGGATCAAAATCATTGCCTGGACTAACACTGCCATTAAAGCAATGACCATTAGTTGGACAGAGAGAGAGAGAGAGACTGAGTTTGTTACTAGTGGATGTTTTATGGGTCTGTACTGGGACCAGTTATGGACGAGATGGCACTCTCATTCTAAGCCCTTATTTTCAGTGGCTGATAACTTCCCCTAAAGTAGTCTCTTGGTCCAAATTTCTCATGCTTGGTCTCAACTCACAAATTATTTTTAATGAAATTTAAAACAGTTTAGATTTAAAACTTTAAAATTACCTCCTACCTATATAGTATCCTCCATACAGAACTTGTTCTATGCTAAGTTTGAAAAAAAATTAGTTGAGAGGCAAAATTACTTTCAAAAACTGACTATGGGATGCTGTGCATATCCTGGGTTATTTTGCTTATCATATATAACTCAGTTCTCTCTCTTTATCCAGCATGTATGGAATACATCTGGGTATCTATGTGAAGGGTACGAAAATGGATAAGAAAACAACATAGTCCATCTGAATCATCTCTCTCTGAGCCTACTGCCTGAAAGCCACATTTCTGAGTATGAGTTTGGACATCCCGGTAACAAAACATCCTCACATTCCAAGCAGAGAAGGGCTGCTGCTATGAAAGTCTATTCCCATAGCAGCGGAATGAGGATCTCTGGATGTACAGAGCTTATCTTTCTCCTGCCTCTCTCAGACACTGTTTCCTTTATGGGTATTTTCTACTTCATTCTTTCTTGATATGCATAAGTTTTTCATCATTTCAGTGATGGGCACAAACAAAGCCCTTGTTCCAAACAACATAGAACTATTTTTTTTTCAGAACCTGAATCTATAGTTGCTAATGGCCCCTGTCTTTAACGTCAGCTGTCGCAACACCCACAAATTCTGAGGAGTTCAATATCAGGTCTAATTGTTGTGGCTTGTGTCTACTTGAAGTGGAGCAATAGTTCCCCCCAGAAATGAAACTCTTCACTGACTACAAGTTCTGAATTTCTTCTAACTCAATACTTTTAGGTCTCTACCCAAAGGTCAGCATTTTACCTGGTTGAGAACAGGTTTGTACTTGAGCCCTGGTTTGTTCAGGATCATTTCTAGCTGTCTGCGGTTGAAGTTGGACACTCCAATGGACTTCACCAAGCCTGCATCTTTACATGCCTCCATGGCCTGTGGAAAACAACAACAGACAGCTCTATTATCACTACTGGTAGTATAATTTCTGAGAGACTAGAAAAATTACACTCAACTGGGCCCACTCAATATAATATTATTCCACCAAAATATTACTACACGTACAGTAGGGGAAGTTTGATTTATTCTAGAACGAAACTCTGATTTAGAGACATTTTCCAACTGTTCACTTAGGCATCAGATCTCTGTCCAATCCATTGTGAAATAAAGTAATCTTTCCCCCACAGTAGAAAGTAGACAATCTGGCCACCGCCTCTCTCTGTAGCTTCCTCTCTAATTTATCCTTCATACATAAAGAACTCAAAGACATAACAATACCCAATCACTGCTCATGAACAATACAGAAATAAGGGTACCACATAAGTATGGGACTATGAACACCAGTTTAAGAGCTTTATAGCACAAAAAAATTCAGAATGAAAATTAAGGGGGAAACACAAGAAACACTGAAGGAGATGGACAAATGCAGTGGTCACCATTAGAATGTCTGTATTTACTGATAGTAGTCATACTGTGGTGTCTGAGATACACCAGGAAATGACTGCAGAATCTCAGATCACAGGCAGTGCTATGAAAACAGATATTGTAAATTCGGTTTACTTTTTACATTTAATAGAAAAAGCCTGCTAGAGTCCACTGAAGGGAAAGCACATATCACAGGAGAAGTTTTAGCTTTTTCTTTTTAAATGAGGTAGTTAAGTTAGTACTCATGAAAATGAGGAACCTATAGCACCAATTAGAACCAGGGATAAATGGATAATTAGAACCCCCAAAACTCTACCAATGCACCTTGATTCTGACCTGATGTCCCTTTGTATTTCATTTCTGGCCTCTCTTGATATAGAAGCACCAATGGTATTAAACTGAGTGGTGGACTTTGTAATGTGGGTAAGCGTGGACAGACTTTGAACCTTGTTCTTCAGTGTTGACAGGCTGGCCCACTAATAAGTTGCAACGACAAGCTACTCAAAGAGCATTAGCTAAAGAATTAGGGATCTGATGGAGTCCTCATCTTGGCTGACTCTAGGGCAGAATATTTCATCCCTCCTCTGTGGAAATCACCACATGTAAAGCCCAGACTACAATTCTGTCCCTGACAATATCCCTGCCCTAAGACCAGAGAAGGCCAAAGCATCTCAAAGTGCGGTTCTGCTCCACAAAGTGATTCTGTAAAAATGGCATGTGAGGTTTCATGTTTGTTGAATCTCAGTGATTTCCCCCTCAAATCTGCTCCGTTTACAATTGAAAATATATTTCACTTAACTAGCTGCCCTGAACACTCATTGAAGGTCTGGTCTAAGCACAGTTATTGTGCTGCTTTAACTATATCAGTCTGACATGGATGTAGTAGACCGCTCCTAGTATGATGGGGCAGCTCCCACAGCAGTCAGAAAGGGTTAAAGAGCTTCTCTGGGCACAATCCACCACACCTATGAGGCTTGTCAAGCCTGGCGAATGGCAAGTGTTTAAAAGGGAGGATACTGGCTCAGTCTGGGCGGGACTCTGGCGTTAGCAGAGCTAGAGCTCCCCAGAGGACAGGGGTTGTTTCCTGTGGAAATTGCTTGAGCGCACTGGCCTCCTGGGCCCTCTGAGGAAGTAGAGGACTGGCTTTTCTATACTTCTCTTTTTCAAGCCCTGGGACTTTGCCTTGGTTGCTTGGGCACATAGGGGACAAGAAGTCCAGATCTCCTGCCAAGGGACTGTAAATCCTCACTCTGTGTGAGACTGCAGGGACCTGGCCTTTTTTTGAGGGCTGCAGAATTACTGTGCCCTTTTCTTCATTTGGACTATTTTATACCCCTAGAAGGGAACAGGCTGTCTATCAGGTGCAGGCAGAGGGCCATACGCCGCACTTTGAGCCAGATCTATAGTAATGTAATTGTCCAGAAAAGGATATTTGAGACAAGAGAGATGCCCCTTCTTGCCCCAGGGGAGTGCCAGAAAGATATAATTTATCACAGTGGGTACAGTCATGCTGCTATAAAGGAGCCTATAGTGGTATAGTTTATTCCCATAAATTTAGGGGAATAAAATACCCCAGTGCAAGGTACCACTGTACTGGTAAAACTGCCTTCACTCTAGGGGTTGCACCAATTCAACTATTTTGTTTAAAAAAAAAAATCACACCCCTAAATGAAATAGTTAATGTGGAATGAAAACTGTATGCACCCCTGGCTGAAGTCTGACAACTGAGCTGGACTCTTTCCAACTTGCGCATCATCACTAATAAGAACAGTTCAATTACACCTCTGCAGCCCCAACGTCTTCAGATTATACCCTCAGTGACACTTGAGCAACATCATTTTCTTAACACAGGTGTCACTGATTTGATTTTAGTAAGAAAATCTGTTGATGATTCACAAGAAGGAGCATCGCTGGTTGGTGCTGCTGGGCTAACTGGAGCAAAAAGCAGCTTAAACTTATTTTGGTCACTAAAGCTGGCAGCAATGATGCTCAATACACCCAAGGGTCAGATCTGTTAAGTGTGAAGGTGTCGTTTGTTTATAGTTACTTGCTGGTGTGAATCTGCACTTTATCAATAGGCAGTTCAAGAACATATCTTACTCACAATCCCAGCCTCCCACATACATAACAATTACATTCTCCCTAGCTCTCTAAAAAGGTCATATGACTAAAAAACAGATAGAACTCTGAACACTTTCTGGATAACAGTCAGCTGACTGCCTAAGGAAACTGGATGGGCTCTTAATTAACACTGTGTTATTCATGTCACTCACCTCCCAAGTTTGACGCAGATCTACAACATCGAAAATGAGTTTTCCATTTTCATCCATTGGTGATAAATCTGGCCCAGGCTTAAAAACAAAAGGAAAATCCCCATTGGTCATGATGTTTTTTACACAAGTGGATTTTAACTATTTTGTGGCCAAGGAAGGAGTCGTAACCAGGAGGAGTGGGGAAGGAGGTAAAGTGTCGAACACTAAAGCTGGTAAAAATAATAGAATGGTTTTATCTAAACCATTTGGATTACCACAAGCTAAAAACATTTGGATGAGAGACTGAGAGCTGGATCATTGCCCAGTCACCAAGAATTTTCCTACCAGTAACACCTAAGAGTTATCTTATCTTATCAATTCCCTTTCTTTTAAGTCCCTAATCGAAGACTCCAGCAGCACCAGAACAAAACTGATATCATCTGAATTAAAACTACCTTGAACTGAACTGAATTTTCTACTTCTCTAGAGGCAGAGCAGCCACTGTAAATTGTCAAACTGAGCTAGAGAATTTAGCTACACATCACTTTTGAGTAAAAGGCCTATACATGACTGAAATATATAGCATACCTTGTGTTCCATGAGTAAATTTCACCCTAGATGCCTAGAAATAATTTTGAGTAAATAAGACAATAAATGTTAATACTGGAAAATTAATTAGCTCAGCGAAACACTATTTTCATAAGAAATCGTGTTTATACGCCATGAAACAAAGCATGCATGTGGAAAGCAATTAGGGCCTAGAGATAGTACAGATAAATCATGATATGGTGTCACACAAAATGACATCTTCATTGACAAAGAGAAAGAAGCTTCACTTAATGAACTAAAGAGGTTATAATTGATTAACTCCCCTCCATAAGAAATCACAGTAACCTCAGATTAGTTTTATAGATTACTGGTGAATTTCCAGAGTAACTAGTTAGCTTTTGATCATTAAGTATTTATTTGAATTTAAAGAGTTTTCCAGACAGTTTGTAAATTTGCCAGTGCACTAAGATATAGATATATTTAGTGGCATAGAGTGAACCCAGGTAGCATATGATGTTTTAATAGCAAGGATTAAAAGCATAAGACTGTTAACCTACATGATTACTATATATCGACTGCGAATGAGACACAATATGAGTTTCCCCCCCCCAAAATTTTTGCATTATAGAGTGTGCCTCATGCATTAGTTTTTCTTTTGTCTTTTGCCTTCCCCTCGAGCACCCATCATAGGGTACTTTTGTAGGCTGGACATACGACTAGATGAACTACGGGTCTTTTTTTTAAAAACAGCTCTGCTCTGGCCCATGGATATACTACCAAACATTTGTTTTCCTGTGTATATTTTTTAAATAAATGTTTACCTTTAGAGACACAGGGATATGGATAATGAAGAGATCAAGATAGTCAAACTTAAGTTTCTTCAGCGATTGTTCCAGGCAGTTTCGGACAAGTTCAGGACGGTGAAAGGTACTCCCAAGCTGTAATGATTCAAAAACAACTGTTCTTTCTGAAGAAGTTCTCTTTTTTCTCTTCTTTCTGTAAAAAACACTTTTCTAAATTGTCTTATTCATGACATTCCACTGGCTTTACTTTTTTGGCAGAGGGGTTGTGTTGTGAGGTGGTTGTGTGCAAAGCTGCACGTGAGAGTGAGAAGTTAATGTTTCCTGAAGAAGCAGGGTTAGGGCCTGAAATACAGCCAGGATGTGAGAAATGCACTTGCTCAGTACAGGAACCCTATGTGAGGCCACTCTCAGGGTTAAAATCTTTCTGGCTAAATTTGTTCTCCTTGGTTATTAGGAGTCACTCTGTTGTCTGACTTAATTAGATGGCCCTTAGAAGAATGGAATGGAAGATGTCCCTTGGTATGTGACTGAGTTCTGTACACAATTCTGGTCTGTCTCTGGGAACCAGGAGATGAGAGTTCATACAAATGCCATTTCTAACAAGATGTCAGTTCTAATGTGGAAAGAATCCCACCCCAAGAAGCCCTTTCTCCTTTTTTTGCCATCGGTTCTCCATTTACTATGTGGTTCTGCTCTGAAAAGTGACTCTGTAAAAATGAGATTTTGGTGTTAAATATTGACTCTCAGTGATTCAATACAAATGTGCCCCATTTACAAGTAAAAAAGGATGCTTTTCCAACTGACAGCTCCACAAACTCAATCTGGATCAAGCTGGGTTCTTTGCTTCTTGTCCATCACCTCCAGAAATAAAGATGCTGGAGAACAAATTATACTCTCAGTGACACCTTTGCAACCCCAATGTCTAAAAATCTTGCTCTCAGTGATAATCCCTTGCTTTTAATTCATTTGTGGAAGTGTAGTTGATTGGAAATTAGTAAACAATTTTGTTGATGAGACCCGAGGAGGAATAAAATCCACCTGACTCTCCCTTAGCCATATTGTTTCTATAGAGCTGAAAGGAGTGACAGCTTATTTTTTCTTCCACTGAAAACACAGATAGGACTGTGAATGCACACAGGGAACAGGTTGGTTGAATAAGAAGGTGCCATTTTTACACAATCACTTTTCAAAAGAAATCTACACTTTCAAGCAGAGTCACCATTGTGCACAGGAAGCTTAGAATGGCTCATTGTGGCTAAATAAAATAAAATGTTCTGTCTGGTGATCTGTACTTTAAAGGGCATGAAGAGGCCGTTTTAGCTTCACTTTCACAAATGTAGAGATGAGCCTGGTGCTCAAACCTGTAACTTTGTATAGAAAGCAATTTCCCACGTCTGTGAATAATACTCCCCTAAAGGGAATCCTTTCAATGCTGGCCTTGAGTAGGTTACACCATTCTTCATAAATTAGAAAAAATTAGCACAGGAAGCAGTAGGGTAAAAATACTTGTGTTAAAACAAAACCCACTTACCTTTCCTGTGTAAAATATGTCCTCTCTTTTGACTGTTCCATCTGCAATCTTCTCGTGAATGGCTCGCCCAACCTCCTCCTCAGTCCCATATACAAAGGCTCCATCAATATGGCGGAAGCCAACTTCAATAGCCACCTTTGTAGCCTCCTCACATTTACTTTTTTGAACCTACCGGTTAAGAAGGTATAGTGTCAATCTCTCGGGATTAGGGATATTGTATGTCAGTCACCTAGAGCTTTGATCACCATCAGAAAGACTTCAAAGTAGAGTAGCACATTTAGAATTTTGAATTTACCTTAAAGGAAATTCCAGGATTCTGGGCCCGATCCTTTGTTGCCCTGCATCTTATGTTATCATTTACACCACAGCAAAGTAAATGGAACGTAGGTGTAAAAAGCTACTATTCAGATATAGCAGGTATTTTTTGCTCTCACTGTGCACAGGAGTAAATGACTCCTTAAAATGCAGGGCAACAGAGAATCAGGCTCATTATTTCAGCTTTCCTTTTTACAAGATTCAAAGTACAGGACCCCGAGACCAGGATCTGTAAGAATCAAATATCAACATTCACTATGGATTAGAACCCCCAGTCTGGCTGAGCTATTGCCTGTTTATTTAAAAATAAAATCTCATGATTTATACGTCAAACTTACGATTTTGCCCAAACTGATTTATGGTTTTGAACTCTTGGTTTGGCAGGACCACATTCCTTTCATGAGTAGTTGTAACAAAGGCAGCTATTAGAACTGTTTGGTGAGAACTATGATTTTATGAACCCCTGTTTGTTCTTGATAATGACTCAGCTTTCTTCCAGCTAGGTCCATATTGACTTTGTTGAGATTAATGATTTAAAAAAAATCTGACAACAGCCATGCTTCCTAGCAGAGAAATCAGGTGTGATAAAGACTAAATAAATAAATAAATAAATAAAAAGATAAGCAAGACCTAAGGGAGGGGCAAACGAACTTCTTGGGGATACTAGAGAAGGGCAAAGAAACCTAGTTCCTAAATTGGTTTCTGATTTCCCATTTGCCTTTTTTTAAATTTAATTTTCAAGCTTCAGCTAGGGATTTGTTGAACAATTTCTCTCCCAGTATCAAAGAAAATCTAGCCTGTGGGCCTAAATCTGCTCTCATTGAAATCAGTGAAGTTACAGTGGTGTAAAACCTAGTATGAAAGGAGAATCAGGCCTTATAAATACAAGTGGGCCTGATTCTCATTACACTAAGGCCCCTTTGTGACAGGTTTGGTCACAGAGATCCCCTTGGGACTGTCACCTGACATGCTGAAATTACCTCTCAGCCCGTTTTCCCTGCCAGCTTTGGACTCCAGAACCCCGCCTTGTTGAGCCAGACACTCTAGCCTGCTGCAACATAGACCCAGGGTCTGGGTCACACCCCCAAAGCTGCAGACCCCTCCAGTCTCCATTCCCCATGGGCTGGCCCACATGTACACAGGAAGGCTTTCAAGTAACTAAGGCCATTTACAACTGATTTTTTCTGGTCAATGGGAGCCATCAAGATTCTAAACCACCATTAATGGCCCACACTTTGCGTAATTACAATAGGACCTCAGAGTTATACTTCATATTTCTAGCTTCAGATGCAGGAATGCTACATGCATACAAATAGGAGGAATATATTCAGTAGGGTATAACCTTTGTTATGATACCTTACAAGAGACCTTTTGCATAAAGCATATTCCAGTTACATCATATTCACACTCATAAGCATATTTCCATAAAACATATGGAGTGCAACGTCACACCCTTTACATCACTCTGGCCGTCAGAGATGATGCATAACTCTTGATGATGGGTGGGCACAATTTAAAGTTTTTTGGGGAGGGGTTGCATCTGATTGACCCACATGTTGCCTCTGGGCTGAGGAAAAGCAGCAGAGCCAGGAGCACCAGGGCAGCAGTGAGCGAGCACCCTGAAGAGTATCTCATGGCAGCCAGGCTCCTTTGGGAGAGCAGCTCGGACCTGTGCCACCCTCCCTGCCTGGGGAGCCCCTGGCTATGCATAGGTGTTCCGGCTCAGGGAGAAGGGCAGGGAGGGCTGCCGGGCAGCCAGACACTGCGGAGAGCCAAGGGCTTGAGCTGGCCAGGCGGCTCCCACCAGCTTCCAATCTGCCAGCTTTTGGCAGGAAGCAGGCGACGGTTTTCAAATCACATGTATCACCTCTGCTGGCAGTGTGATGGGGCCTTAAATTACACCCACTTTAGCGTGGAGGTCCTAAGGAGCCTTAGTATAACTGAGAAACAGGCCTGAGTGAACAGCTGCAGTTGACACAGATTGTAGTGTGTAGGAAAGTCATATTTTAGGAGATGGTCTTTTCTGGGAGGAGGAGGAGGAAGAGGAGAGAGATCATATCAGTCCTGCTGATTAGAAGATTAGAAGGACTCACTGGAAAGAGCTGAGTCACTGAGCTCTACAGAAAATGTCTATGCTTCACCTTTATTCCTAAGACAATATACATGTCATGGTGCCACAAGGCTTATACGTACCAGGTAGAAGGAAAAAGATCCACATGCAGCTGTCCTCTTCAGAGGGGCCCTTACTTTATTTTATTTTATTTTTTTAACCACAGTATTTAGTCAGGCTTAATTCTCCCCAAGTCATGGATAGGAATAAGGAGCGAAAAATAAGTAAAGACTTTAAAAAATGTAATAAATTGCACATTTTAGCACCTTCCATCTGAGAATCCCAGTGCAATTTTACAAACTCTTAGAGTAAAATCTTCAAAAGCAGTGCCATTTCCAAGTGCCTTTCAATGAGACATAGGCTTCTAAGCCTTTTATGTGCTTTTGAAAATTTTATCCTTATGAGCTAAACCCAGTGAGGTAATTCAGGTATTATCAGAATTTTACAAAACTGGGGAAACACAAAAGGCAAGTAAGATACCCAAAGGTTACATAAGTGACTCAGAGGCAGAATCAGATCTTCTGACTCCAAGTCCCCTGCTCTGACCACTAGACCAGCCCCCTCCACACTGGGATCAGCAGGGAGCAGGACTGTTGAGAAGGGAGAAAAAAGGAAATATACTCATTTTCCTTCCCTCAGTGTAATTCAGTGAGCAGCACTACAAGGGCTAAATATAACTAACTTCTCTTTAAAGGAAATTGGTTTCCATTTAGCTCAGGTTGGGACCAAAATGCATTGGCAGAGACATATGGGCCGAAAACTGGAAAAGGGAGTGCTGTAGGTCAGGGCAAAGATGCATGGGTAGTTATATAGTGGCTCTGGACTAGCCTAGCTGGGTGCTGGAGGTCAGGACAGAGGTGGATTGACAGATGCATGTGGGGGTTCAAGGTGTGAATGGTTGGGGTTGCTATCGATCAGGTGTTTTGGCAAAGCTAGGTCAAGGAGTCATGAATCAGCATGAGATTCACTCAAATAATAAAAAACAAAAACCATTTCTTACAGATTGATGATATTCTTACACTTATATACAGGCATCATCTTTCACTCAACCCCCCAAAGCACTTTTCAGACATTGTCAATAGTTTTATAAACTAGATATACAGGGATCTCATCTTGCAGATCTTTCTGGACTGATACAGGCAATGGTTATAGCAGTGCCCAGCAATGTTAATCAACAGGTTAAGGACAAAGAAATCCATGAAAGATTTACTTACTGCATCAGGGGAATAGGTACCAAATCCCACTGCAGGAATTTTGTTCCCATCATTCATCTTAATACAGTGGTCGTTGTCAAACTCCATCTCTTTACAGTATTTCCTCGATTCTTTTCTGAATGCTGAAATTTTACAGCACTGCTGTATGGGCCAGCGAGAGCTTCAGAAAGAAAACACAGTATGAATTTCTATTTTAATTATATTTTTCTATGATGTGTACTAAAAGGAGTAGCCAAGTTTGGTGCAGCACGCATAAAGGGGGAAAAAAAGTATAAATGCAAAATGACAAAGCTCTCAGAAAACCCACTATCATTATCAACAGGTTCAAAGATCAGTCTCTTTCCTCAAACTTTATTGACTTAATACTGCTTCCATGTGACATAGAAGGAAAGCGTACAAAAGATCTCCCTTCAAATTCACAGTCACTCTACAATGGGGGCAAAGCATTTCCAGAAAAATATAATTAGGAAAAGTGATATAACCTCTAACAAAGCATTTTAGAACTAACACTTATCACATATGTTACTAAATTTTCACACTCAGAAGAAGCAACTAAAAATTAAATTATCTGAAAATAGTACAAGAGAATTGCCTACTGTTTAATTGCTCCTATGAATTACAAATTTGAGCGGCCCTGATCTACTGGCTCAGGGAATATAGATAAGAAACTTTTATCAAAATCAGAAACAAGACTCAATCACTGCATTACAAAGAGACCTTCATTCCTTCCCAATAAGCTAGAACCATGATAGAGAAGTTCTGAATTTCTATTTAAAATGTACAGTGTAGAGCTCTTGACATCACCAGTATGCTCTGGGCTCCCAGAGCAGTGTGTTCTTCTTGGAATAACTCCAATAATGCAACAAGGAGAAGAAATGTGGGTCTGATTCTTTATTATGTGGAAGAAAAAAAAAATTCAGGAATAGTGAAAGGATCCTTTTTAATATACATCTTTAAATGAATACTTGGGGTGGACCACAAATCTAAAGAAAATAGTTTTAATAAAATATCTACATGCAACTGTATGGCTAGAACAACGGAATACACACTGCAGGCCTCTCAAAGAGCAGACGTGCAATGCTTTCTACTAAATTTTTTTAAATACAGCCCATGACCATAGCATTCAGTGGCACAGCCAGGCCACTCAGGATATGTCTGCAAAACTTGCAGGGATCTCAGAGCCTGGGTCTACAGATAAGGGCTGTGTGCTAAAAACAGCAATGTAGACATTGTGGCTTGGGTCAGAGCTCGGGCCTCAGGGGCTGAGCCTGAATGCTAAAAACAGTAGTGTAGACACTGTAGCACAAATCTGAGTCTCTGGACCCAGACTCAGACTCACTGCTGTGGGTTTTAAAAGTCAGTGTAGATGTACCCTTACTCTTCCCCCCCTGAACTGGGAGGGACAATGAACCCCAGCTACCTGGCAGGGACTGTTGCAAAAGCACCTGTGAGCTGCTCCACTCCTGAGATACCCACCATCTACAGGGATCCATTGGTACAGCCTGGCTGCTTACTCTTCTCCTCCATACGTGGGAATGAAGACAAACTCCAGGTAGCTGGCAGGGGCAGTTGCAGAAGCATACTTGGCAACATTTTCCCTCCCCATCGTCCATTTGCCACTCCCGCAGGGCTTTCATTTAATCATTTTTGTTGCTCTCCTCAGGATTTCCTCCAATTTGTCCACATCCTTCCTGAAGGGTGGTGTCCAGAACTGGACACAATACTCCAGCTGAGGTCTTATCAGTACTGAGCAGGGCAGAAGAATTACTTCTTGCGTCTTGCCTACAACACTCCTGCTGATAAATCCCAGAATGATGTTTGCTTTTTTTTGCAACAATATTATATTGTTGACCCATATTTAGTTTGTGATCCACTATAATCCCCAGATCCTTTTCTGCAGTACTCCTTCCTAGGCAGTCATTTCCCATTTTGTACTTGTGCAATTGATTATTCCTTCCCAAGTGTAGTACTTTCCATCTGTCCTAATTAGATTTCATCCCATTTAATTCAGACCATTTCTCCAGTTTGTTAAGATGGTTTTGAAATTTATTCCTGTCTTCCAAAGTGCTTGCAATCCCTCCCAGCTCAGTATCGTCCACAAATTTTATACATGTACCCTCTATGCCATTATCCAATTTATTTACAAATACATTGATTAGAACCAGACCCAGAACAGATCCTTGCAAGACCCCACTCAATATGCCCTTCCAGCTCAATTGTGAGCCACTGATAGGGGAAGCAGTAGCAGTTATCTGCAAGGCTTATTACTCTGTCAAAGAAGGCTACAGCTTGGTTTGACATGATTTGTTCTTGACAAATCTATATTGACTATTACCTTATTATCTTCTAGGTGCTTACAGATTGTTTGATTATTTGCTCCGTTATCTTTCCCGGGACCAAAGTTAAGAGGAGTGATAATCCCCTGGATTGTCTTTGTTTGCCTTTTTATAGATAGGGACTATATTTGCACTTTTTTCCTGTCCTCAGGTATCTCTTGTGTCCTCCATGAGTTCTCAAAGATAATCGCTAATGGTTCAGAGATCTCTTCAGCCAGTTCCTTAAGTATTCTAGGATGTACTTCATCAAGCCCTGTCAAAGTAATTCTTAACATGTTCTTTTCCTACTTTAGCCTCAGAGCCTATCCCATTTACACTGTTGTTCTCTATGTTGGCCAGCTGATCGTTGCTAACTTTCTGGTGAAAACTGAAACAAAAAAAGGCATTTAACACTTTGGCCATTGCTGCATTTTCTGTTGTCATCTTTCCCTCCTCATTTAAAAGTGAGCCTAACCTGTCCCTAGTCTTCCTCTTGCTTCCCATGTATTTACAAAATGCTTTCTTATTCTAGCTAGTTTAATCTAATTTTGGCCTTTACCTTTCTAATTTTGTTCCTACGTGCATGTGGAGTGTTATATATATATATTCATCCTTTGTAATTTGACCTTTCTTTTTTGAGTTTTTGGTCATTGAAGATCTCCTGGTTAAGTCAGGGTGGCTTCCTACCATATTTCCTATCTTCCTATGTATTGGTACAGTTTGCTCGTGCCTTTAAAAAACTAACTCTCCTGCGCTCTTTCTTCCCCCCCGCCCCCAGACTTCTTCCCACGGGCTCTTAACAAACAATTTTGTGAGTACTAAGCTCTGCCTTCTTGAAGACCTTTGTCTTTATTCTGCTGTTTTCCCTCCTACTACTCCTTAGAATCATTAACTACCATTTCATGCTACTTTCACCCAAGCTGCCTTTCACCTTTAGATTCTTAATTACTTCCTCCCAGTTTGTCAACATCAAATCCAAAATAGCCTCTCCCCTAGTCTTTTTCTCCACCTTCTGTAATAATGAGTTGTCTCCAGTGCATACCAAGAACTTGCTGAATAATTTATGCTCTGTTGTATTATTTTCCCCAACAGATGTCTGGTTAGTTGAAGTCCCCCATCACCACCCAATTCCTGTGTTTTGCATGATTTTATTAGTTTTAAAAAAAGTCTCATCCACCCCTTTTTCCTGGTTATCTGGTCTATAGTAGACCCCTACCATGACATCACCCTTCCCCTCCCCCCCTTTTATCCTTATCCTGAGACTAGCAAGAGGTCTGCCTCCCACTTTTGTCACAACCTCAATGGAAGTGTATACATCTTTGATATACAAGGCAACATCTCCTCCCTTTTTTCCCAGCCCGTCCTTCCTGAACAAGCTGTACCCTTCTATGCCAATATTCCAGTCATGTGAATTATTTCACTAAGTTTCTATGATGCCAATTATGTCATCTTTGTTGGGCCCTACCAAATTCATGGTCTATTTTGGTCAATTTCACAGTCATAGGATTTTAAAAATAGTAAATTTCATGATTTGAGCTACTTAAATCTGAATGTTCATGATGTTGTAATTGTAGGAGGAGTTGTGGGGGTGGGGGTCACAAGGTTATTGTAGGGGAGGTTGCAGTACTGCTACCCTTACTTTTTCGCTGCTGCTGGCAGTGGCGCTGACTTCAGAGCTGGACAGCTGGAGAGCGGTGGCTGTTGGCCGGGAGCCCAGCTCTGAAGGCAGAGCCACTGCCATCAGCAGCGCAGAAGTAAGGATGGCATGGTATGGTGTTGCTACCTTTACTTCTGCTTTGCTGCTGGTGGGGCGCTGCCTTCAGAGCTGGCGCTGTCACACAGCTGTCACTTTCCAGCCACCCAGCACTGAAGGCAGTGCAGAAGTAAGGGTGGCAATTCTGCAACCCCCCTAAAATAACCCCGTGACCCCCCCCCCCGCAGCTCCCTTTTGGGTCAGGATCCCCAATTTGAGAAACGCTGGTCTCCCCCATGAAATATGTATAGTATAGGGTAAAAGCACACAAAACACCAGATTTTGCTGGAGGGGGCCCAGATTTCACAGTCCATGACACTTTTTTCATGGCCATGAATTTGGTAGGGCCCTAGGTATTTGTGATTATTCACTAGTATTTCTACTTCTTCCTGTTTATTCCCCATACTTCCTGCATTAGTATACAGACATCTAAAGATGTTTATTAGATTTCTCCACTATATTTTCTTGTCTCGACTTTGTCCATGCTGCGATTTTCAATGTTCGCCCCACATTCTGACCTTTCACCCAAGTCTCCGTGTTTTGGACTCACCTGTGGGCTTTTGCCTCCTGCCCGTTGGACCTAGTTTAAAGCCACCTCACTAGGTTTGCACACCTCCCAGCATGCCATTCAGGCTTGCAGATGGATGCCTCTGTCCCCATTAGAAGGGAGTCACTAACCACCACCACCCTTTGATTTCTCTTGGGAGTGGTGGCGCGATTCTCCCAGTCTGGGCGGGTACATTGTTTCCTTGTACTCCCCGGTCTTCCAGTATCCAGCTGTCGTCTTCTCTAATACTTCATGAGGCAGGGACCATCTTTTTGTGTGTGTTTGCATGGCACCTAGCGCAATGGGGTTCTACTCCATGACAAGGTCTCCTAGGCACTATGGTAATTCAACTGATAAATAAAATAATAATAAACCTTACTGTACAGTCCTCATTGAGATATTACATTGTGGCAGAGCTTATAAGCAATACCTTTATTCACTTGGAAGTAAAATAAACTCAAAATATAATTGTCAACCATTATATAAAGCTTATATATAAACAAACATTTATAAACATTATATAAAGCTGAATTGGGTCATACCTATAACTGTCTGTAGGCACAGAAAGTAGAAGGATGTTACAGGGGATATTTATTCTTAGTAAACATTGAACCTAGAATAATTGATTTTGGATGCAGTGGAATTATTTAGGTTTAACACACATATGGTTCAAACTCTAAATTCAACTCC